AAAAAAAAAAAAAAAAAAAAAAAAAACTCAAAACAAAACAAAACAAAAACAAAATAAAAGGAAGAGATTGGAGCAAAAGAGAAATGATCAAAAGTCACGGTTCCGGCACGTTGATCGCTAGCCTCTATGCGCTCCTATCCATCGGTAAATCCTTGGAGATATTTCAATTTTTAAGGTCTCTTTGGACCGACTGTTCCCAAGTGAGTTTAGGTCGACATCTACCTCTCTTAACATCATCGGCCTGCTGTAGAACCCCCTACGCACCGATGCATCAGGAGGCCTCCGTTGGACATTTTTTTATAGACTAGGTCTATTTCCTACATGGCATGTGATTTTTTTCTAAGAGACCCAAGCATTGTGGGTGCTCTTAGGTGACCTTTGTTGATTATAAAATGTCACGATCTCTCATATTATCGCCCGTTTCTTTGTTAAATAGCATAGTTCATCTAGCATTCATTTTTTTTAGCCCGACTAATTTTTTCAACCAAAAATAAAAATTAAGTAGATATCCTTGTTTATTTAATTTTTTTAATCAAATAAAAATTAAATAGATGTCCTCGTCTATTTAATCAAATCTTAATTTATGTAAATTACTTAACCAAAAATTAAATATATCACCTATATTTATCTAAAGTTTGTTAATCAAGTAATTAAATATCCCAATCTTTTTATTAATTAGCTAATTAAATCATAATCTAAATGATTAAGGAATTAAATTAAGTCCTAAGGCTAAACTTCATCCTAATCTATTAAGGAATTAAATTAAGTTTTAAGTAAGAAAGGAAGGAAAGAGATTAAGAAGGGAATTTACCTATATTCTCCTAAGAAACTCTCGCCAAGCCTAAGCACTATAGGAGTCCTAGTTCTCTCATCTTTAGGGATGTAAATAGGTCGGGTCGAGTACGGGTTTTGGCAAACCCAAACCCGACCCGTATATAAATTTACCATACCCAAACCCGACTTGTTACGCGGCTAGTGATCTTCGGGTTCGGGTTGGGTTTTTATCTAGCGGGTTATTGGATTTTCGTCGGGTAAATGGGTAACCTGTGTTTTTAAATTTGGGCTTTATCCGACCCATCCCGTTTCATATGAAATAATAAAATAAAATAATTTCACAATTAATTATAATGTAACAAATATTTTTTTAACTAAGTTTGACAATAAAAAATTATAAAAAAAATTATATTATTTTTGAAATAAATAGTGAGATATAATTATTTATTTTTTTTAGTTAATTTTAAGAATATAAAATTTAAAAATTAAGTACTTAATTTTTTATATTGTACAATTAACGAAAAATGATAATAAAATAAAATAAAAAATTTAACTATTAATCAAAACTATAATAAATAATGTAATTTTTTTATATAAATAAAACATGACAATTTTTATATTTATATAAGTTATTATAAATATAAGATCTAATGGTTGTGGTTAAACGAGTAGTGTAATCGGGTCGGGTGACGAGTTTTCTTACTATATTCACACCCGACCGGACTCGGGGTGCGGGTTGAATCCGACCCGAAACTCGATCATAACTCAACCCAAAAATACGAGTAACTCGACCCTACGGGTTTTATGACATCCCTACTCATCTTTTTACCCTCTGGGCCCACACAAGAGCAGCCCCAAAAGCCCATTCCTTTCAACCTCTCCTCTCACACGGCTAAGCCAAGGAAAGAGACCCCTATACCTTTCCAAACTCTCCTAGCCTCCTCTCCAAGTCTCATTACCTTAAGTCATCACTATATCAAAAATGTAATTGTCACATCAAAAACATATTACAATGGGTATAATAAGGCCAACCAATGGTAAACATGATGGAAAAATGAAATAAAAAAATAAAAAAAAGGCTTTTGGAGTGCAACTTTAAAGTTTGATACTTCAATTTCCATATGTCTTTTTCCCATTAAAATGCAATAAATTTGGAAGAGAAAAAAAATAAGCAAATGAACTTTCACAATTCACACCAATAACGTCACTCTTATCAATCACAAAGCCGTACCAAATTGTTTTTTGACTTGCATATTCTACTTTGGCAAAACATTCCAATCAAGAAATAGTATTTGTTTTTTTATATTTTCATGTAAATTCCAATTTTATTTTTCTTGGATATTACTTATGTGGTATCATAAAATGACCGGTTTAGTCACATATGTCTTGACCCGAGTCTAATAGTGTTAATGATTATTCCAACGAAGAGTTCGACTATGTTTGTGTACAAAAAATCTCAAATACATTTGAATTTGATATCTAAAATTATTTTAGCAGTGCCAATAATACATCAAATAATGCTCTTTATGTTAATTATAGGCATGTAAATTTGAAAGCCATAATAATAATTGATATAGGCACCTAGCATATGGGCGGCCCAAAAACAACAATATTTGTAGGCCCAACGCGCACATGGAGAAGTTGACGGATTTACAGCCTTGCTACAAAGGTCACGGTCCACATAATGCATCGTGTCCACCACCCATTCGGCGTTCACGTCAAATAAATAGTAAATTCATTAAAGTGTTACATTTGATTTAAAACTATTGTTTCTATTAATTCTTGAAAGAAATTTAATATGTTATAACAAAATACTTAATATTAATTTTATACAATATATTAGTGACATATTTTGAGCTTAAATATAAATTTATCCATTTAATTAAAAATGTTTTGTATTAAATATGATCCTTCTTGGCTTTAGCATGTTATTCCAGATGAGCCAAACAATTTCCATTAGTCATTGTGTTCGTTTAATCAATTTAAAACCCTGAATAAATTGTTTGTTCGAGAACACAATTTATTCAATATTATTTAAAATAAGAAACGAACTGTTAGCAAACAAACTCGACTCATTTAATAAATGAGTTCTAACTGCTCAAATAACTTGAGTTCGAGATTTCACGAGCTTATCCTCGATAATCCTATTTACATATTTTAAGTTGTACGTATATTTAATTTTTTCACATGGGAAAAGAAGATGCATTTAAAAGCATTTCATTTAAATAATTTCCAACTCGACACAAATGTATGTACATGATTATGTCCAAAATAGGTCGGCTGGTTAATTTGCAAATTGCACCCTCAAAATTCAATAATCAACACTTTAAACCTAATCAATATTCTGTCAACAGCTGTCACTGTAGCTTCCTCACCCCCATCGTCCCCTCTCTATAAATACTACCATCAACACCTCAAGCTAGCCGCACAATCGCTCTAAAAAAGAAAATAAAAAATAAAAAATTACAGTCTCCGGCGAAAACCCCAGAAGACTATGGCTGAAATTAGCATTGTGAAGGCCGCTTTAGTGCTAATGTGCGCCCTTGTCGCTCTGTCTTTATTCGCCGCCA